CTTCATTTGAGGCGTTTGCCTTGAGACATTTGAGACAGTATCTTGATCAAATTATACAAAAAAAAAAGCATACTACATTATATTGCTAATAAATATCATATTACATTATATTATACTATATTATATTAAAGTAAACTATATTTTATATATCTAGTAAAATGTCTTAATCAAATATAATTGAAGTATGATTATTTGATTATGCTATCAATTGATTCTTATGGTTTAAATTATATTGGACTTCAAATTAATAGATAGTAAGAGAAAAATTATAGCAAATGAAGACCATTTTAAACTTATAAATGAGATAGAATTAAACGATAATAAATATGATACCTTTTTTTTAATATGATGAAAGTAAGGATGAGTTCATAATAGATTTTTAACCTCATGGAAAATTTAAATATGAAGTGAATGCTTACCTTAAATCTTATTTCAAACTTCTATTTTATATCAACATTTAGAGTTAAAATTTATAATTCATCTTTATGACAATAAACTAAATTAACATATCAATGACTTATATCATATTTATGAATTATTTTTCGTTTTACAATTTTTTTTTCTTTTTAGAGCCTTATATCATATTTGCTAGGACAAAAGGCTTTAATTCCCGATTCCATCTTTAAACTTTATAATGCAAGGTTTACATACCAAATTATTTCCAAAATATGCTTGAAATATTGAAACAAACTAAAAAATGACATAATCCCAAATCACTCAACATTCAACCATCCTGATAAAATTCATAGAAGTCTAAACTTTAAAGGAGTAGTATTTTAGTCATTAGTTTCCCTCGACCACAATTCTCTTTAGCGAATTTTAGAAAATTTAGCATTCTTATGTATTTTCCTAGCCTTGATGACCATAAACTCTAGCCAATGACTTTTCTCAAACGATGAAATACGACATTTGCACTATATGATGCCTTTCCTTCGCCTTAGGTGACTCTAAACAGACTACACATTATCGTATCGGCTAGTTCAATTGTCCTAAACTAGTTAGTAAGACCCTTATCCCTTCGATTTCAGTCTAGTCAGCTGACTCAATGAGAGTTCGCAGTTATCCTTACCATTAAACTAGTCAGTAGAGAGTACTCAAATGCTCATAAGTTTTTTTAGCACTATCCCACCTAATCTTAGAACCCCTTAAAAATCATAAATGATTGCTAGTCTAATCGTAGGGTTTCACTAATTACTTTTTTAGGCATTACTGAGTGGATCCAGTTGCTCTCCAATTCTAGGCTCAACCTAAATATATGCAGACGACCCAAAAATCTTTTTCACCAGCATTAGGCGGCCCCTGAAGAGCGGCTTATCCTTAATAGTTCTAGAGGAATCAGGCATGTTTAGTGACAGTTCATCTTAGATAATCATCTTGACTTTAAGAATAGCAACACTCACATTAAGGTGGGCTAAGTTCATTCTTAAAATCTCCTGAAAGTGATGAAGATTCATACCAACAAATCTTAGAATATTTGGAATGAGGTCAAGCCCATTCTCTAACATGGAACTTCTACCCTTTGGTAGTGTCTTGTAATCAAGAATGAATCATCATCCACTCCTTTACCACTTGGCACACTGTTTTCAACTTTAAGTCTAGGATTCAGAACTTGAAGACGGGTCACCTGTATCTTCTTCTTGTTTAAATTGGAAATCTTGCTTCTAAGAGATTGGGATTTAAAACCCTCATGATGGCATATCCAAGCTCAGGTTATACTATGTCAATCACATATAGGTTCCTCAAAACTCTTTAAAGGTGAAACTCTATGAAGTTATAAAAAATTAAATAAAGTGACATAAATTACTAATAATTTAAACATAAACCACCGCCTCAATAATCAATTTGAATGTTGTCTAATCAAACTATAACTTGAACAACAAATCTAATTAGAATGACACTCTCACTGGCATGACATACATTAGATGACAAATGTTGTAATAGGCACATTCTTATGCATCCTTGTGCTAAGGTTCTTTTTATGTGAGGTGATAATTACTATTTTCATTATTTCTTTTAATGTGAAATTATTGACACTTGAACTTAAGTGATTATGATAGATAATTTCTTTGTAGGTGGCTATAAATCCAAAAAAAGAGAACATGTTTAAAAGAAAAAAATAAATTGTTTTGTTTGCAAATGACGCTATTCTAACTTAAACACTGAGTGGGCATGGCTAATATAAAATAGCTTGACATCCATCTGTGTTAAGCTTTGTGTGAAACGTGTAATTATTCTTTTATTAATAACATCTGCTCTGTAGGAACAATTTTGTGATTTTTTGCTTTCATGATGTACTTTTTTATAAGGAAAGCCTTGTAAACATATGGAATCTCTCAGAAAGAAAAAGAACAAATGACAATCTACGAAGAGACATTCAAGGCCCCAAATATCAATCTATATTTGTATAATTCTAGGACTGAGGTGTACCTATGATAGAACCAAGCTACCTTCATTTTTTACTCTTTTTCTAGGGTGCACTGCAGAACCCAACTTGCACTTTTATTATTTTATCTTGTATTATATGAATGAATGCCAACTGGGTGTGTACAAGAAATGCATGTCTTTTTCTAGATTTATTCATTTTGTTTGTGTGACGTGACCCGAACTTTAAATCATCGTTAGGCTCTTGAGATGTTAAATTTTCTACCTTAAACAACACATTAATTTAAGAAATATTGAAAAATATTTGATTTAAAATTAATGGCATAACTTTTCGTAAAATCATTTTTTAAAATAATCCATTTCTAACATCTGTAATGAACCATAAAGGTACAGTCAATATTTGGTTGACTTGCCCTGATTCATTGGAAATATGCTCTTTGAATCCGTAAAATCAATTTTTAAAATAATCGATCTCTAACCTCTGTAGTGAACCATAAAGGTACAATCAACATTTGGTTGACTTGTCTTAATCCATTAGAGATATCCTCTTTGAATCGGTAAAATGTTAGCGGTAAAATGTTAGACTAATGCAGACATAAACATAGTCCAATGAGTCAACATATTAATTTTTTTTTGTTTATAACTCACTTATGTCTAACTAAATCAAAACTTGTGTATGCATACCATGGCCACTTATGATCGTACTGCTTTGGTTCAGTGGCACGGTCATACGACAAATTTTTTTATATATCACTCCTATCCCATCTTGCATTAGCATGGAAACTAGACATCATGATTTTAATGTGATTAAAAGGCTCTAGCTAGCTTTCATTTTTAGGGAAGAATATAAATGCGAGTCATCGACATTCTTAGTCACTGTTGAGTTAAGTTACAAGTAATATCATTGCATTTGCATTGATTAAAGTCATGGTTGTATGTAGTTAGTATATTTGGTCCCCTTAGAATTACGTTCGAGATTGAAATTATCATTGCAATGTTTAAAAATCATCATCAGACAAGCTTCCACTCATTCGGAAGTTGTACACTCCGCATATATATTACTTGATGATGCCTCCTCATATATTCAACCACTAAGCATGATTCTGAATGACTTCTATCGCTTTTCTAACCTCTAAATGCTTGGTTTATACCCGGCATGATGTATATGCACTTCAACCTTCTATCATTAAAATAGGAAACTTGTTTAGAAATCTTATGTACCATACTCTCAAAGAAAAATAAATAAACATTCTTAATCGAGAGTTTGTCTCTTTAATCAAGATGTAATTAATCATAAGGGCTTCTGCTTATAAAAAACTAAATCATCGGAAAAAAATAAATCACATTCAATAGTATATATTGAGTTGGGAAAATATTTAGTTCCATTAAAGCATACATATATCTTGAGTACATAAAATGAATTTTCCTCTATCCTTTTTTGGTAGCACCGTCTCCTCTCAATAGAGCACTCTAAATACAAATAAATGTATGACTAATGTGTCTTTTATTGATTCTCATTCTAGGGCATAAATGTTTGCAACTGCTTCTGTTTCTTTTGATGGTACAATCCAATCCTTTATAATCCTCCCCCACGCATGAGCCTCCATCAAAGGAGCTCTACAAGCTTAAATGGACAAATCCATGTAAACAATATTTCAATAAATTTATAGTGAATCTTCTGTCTCAATCACTTATTAAAGATTAAATGTTAGCAATTTTTTTCCATCAACTATTTTACTATAAAATCTTAGTCCTCCAACCAAATTATGGTGAACATGATAAAGAACCATTAAAATGATGGAATAACTAATAAACTTTTTTTTAAAAAAAATTCATGGATATTTTGGTCATGAATCTATATTTGACCATAGTTGATAAATTAGTTATGTGTGGTTTGCATTCATGTACTCATGGTTTTGGAAGCTACACCTTTAGTTATAAATAATTCAAGTTACAATTGTGCCTTCTCCATCAATCAAGGCTATAATTGAAGTTATTTAAATTACAATTGTGCCTTCTCCATCCATTTAATGATCAAAGCAAGTCAACACGTCGAATGAGCAGACTCCCAGGTGAAATAATTGTGTGCATAGGCAGAATAGAAATCTAGTGGATTGCTTATAGTTTATGGAAAGCAATTGGAGTGACCAACATGCAAACATGACTGACAATTGACTTATGGGAAGTGTATTCACTTAGCTCATGGACTTTTACCGATTGGATTTTTGAAATAAATCATTGTCACCTTCCTCATCAGTCCAAACTTTTGGAGTTGATTGTGTCCAGTGGTATTACAACGATCCAATAGCTCAATTTGAATTCAAAAGAAAAGTCGAATACAAAAAAACTTTCAAAAATTTATAGTGATATAATCATAAACTGATAGTTTAAAATCATAGACAACCAAATCACCATGCATCTAAAGCCACACAACAAAGAACATTTAAAGTGAAGCATGTTGACATGAAAATCTTATCTTCGTATTTTCAGAAGATTAGCCACAACCAACTAACATTCTAAAGAATTTGGGAGAGTACTTAAAAGTTGCTGATAATGACAAATACTATTGACCATGCATAGCAGAGAAGGCTACATAAGGACAGGTAAAGTGTTCAAACCTTAAAGCCAGCATCCTTAGCTAAGCAAAAGCAATCAGCCACAGCAGCAACCGTATGGCCTCTATTTGTGTCACGAGCTACATCTTCATATGTGCTTTGAACTCCTATCTCCAACCGAGTGCAGCCATAAGAAAGCATTTGGCGCAAATGAGGGCTCAAACAATAATCAGGTCTTCTGATATTCAGCAAAAATGTAGACAGTTGACATTAGGAAAATCTAGTACAGCCAATATAATATGTATATTCCTAATGAAACTTTCTAATAAGCAAATGCACAAATGTATGGATAGTATGCATGATATAAGATAAAATACCTTCAATCATGAACCCAGATATCTTGAATAAAGAAAAAAAGAAAAGAAAAAAGATATAAAAGAAAATAAAAGGGCCAAAAACTCCAACCTAAGAAACTCACCATCATAGAAACATATTAAATTGGGATCTTTATGTTTTAATTGCTATGATTTAAGAAAAGTTTAAAGTATTTGGAATTTTTGCCCTTCACTATTTTTAGTGCAATTGCAAAATAGCCTATTTTATCATTGGAGAAGTCACTTCTCTGTAAATAAGCAATCCCTAATTCATTAAGCAGCCGCAAAGAACTTTGAAGTTTAGAAAATGCAGATCAGCTATTTACATAGATACCAAAACAATAGAAAAATTAGAACGTTATTCCTTCTTCCGTAATCTTCATGACCCAAATTTATATTCGTGCAGTTCAGAAAAGCAGCATTTAATAGGAAAGTAAGAGTTTTATTGGGGTTGTCCTTAAAAATAATAAAATAAGAGATAAAAAGTTAGAATAAGACCATTATGAAGCAAAAGAAAGGTGAGCAAAGCAATAATGCATAGGGCTTCAATTAGTTCCCAACTAGTTATCACATCAGTTTCCAGGCGCTATAGCGAAAGAGGTGCATTCAATTTCTCGTGGAACAAAATGTTAACACTTCAGACTAGCAGGATTGATTAAAGTGAGGCCTGAACACTAAAAGAAAGAGCAGAAAAGTTATTTATTCCAACAAATTTCCAAGAAAGACGTTCTACAAATGAATGAAAACTAGTAACAATACGCATAAAATTTATCGCAGCTTGCATTCTTCATCATCATCATAATACTTAAGACATTTTCACAAGAAAGGTTATTATTGCAACACAAAGTTTGCATGTTCCATTAGTCAACTCCGACAATGAATAGAATGGAAAGATGGTTTAAGAAAAAGAAATCTCACGTTTCAATTGTCATGCCAATACATTTAATAGCACTATGTTCCGAATAGCTGACTGCTTCCTCAACGTTCATGGAAGTATGTCCAGACAGCGCATCATGGAGATTTCTAATAAAATAATCTCGATAGTCTGCAGGCAAAGACATAAAGGTTCCCCCCATCAAAATGAACTCCACCTGGGGAAAAAAATTACAATGACTAACCAAAACATGAATTGAGATGCAAACTTGCTTTTCAAACAATTTTTTAATGAGAAACATTACAAACCTTGTCCACACTATGACCCAGCCTCTTGAGCTGATCAATTCTACTTCTAGCTTGGACATATGGGTTGTATCTGGAGTGAAAAACATCCAAAACTATCATAGATGTGAAGTTTCAAGCAACCCATCACAAAAACAGTTGTTCCAATAAATGGCAGGGGAAATTTATCAAAGATCATAGAATCCACATTCATTTATGTTTTTGTTCTATCTTTTGCAAATAAAACCGGTTAGTCTTTCAAATAATATATTTTTTTTTCCCTTCATTTATTTTATCTTTTTTCCCCAATCAAATTATTTTCTAAAAGCATTTGATTAATGAAAAATTAAATATGATTATTAAACAAAGGAGATAATGATATATAAGAAAGTTGATGAAAATAAAATTGCATCTTTTGGAATTAAAATCAGGTATTTATAGTGAAATTTTAACTTAAAATTACATATGAGCAAAAATAATGTCTTGCGCGATTAAACATAAATGTTACAAATTACAATTAAGTTGGAAAAGTTAAATGAACCCTAAGTGTTGGGTGTTTAAGAAGTTCATGATATCTAAAAGCTAAATATAACAGAAATGAGAACACTAGGATTGATGTGTGATGAAATTAGGAATAATAAATTAAATAATTACTATATTTGAGGAACAGTTTGGGTTATATTTATTAAGATTAGATAATTAAAAACAAACCTGGATGATTTAGACACACAATAAATTTTAAAAATATGCCTATAAAAAAGATAAATAGCATTATTATTGAAGAAATATAAGCGAAAATGAGTGACCCAATGATAAAAATGTAAATAAGTTTTAATAAAATTTACAAAAAAAATTAGTTTAATAAATTAAAATAAACTATAAGCATTCATAACAGAACAGTTAGGGTCAATTTGGGCCAGCTGCAGTGCAACAACTGTAGACGAAGCTGCTATTGGGAAGCTGTTGAGAAGCTGTCTATTTGGTTAATTCAGTTGTGCATCAGTTGTGTTATAATTATTTTTAAAAAAAAAAGGGTTGTATTGCCCTTGTATACATATGTTAGAAGCTGCTATGGGGAAGCTGTTGAGAAGCTGTCTATTTGGTTAATTTAGTTGTGCATCAGTTGTGTTATAATTATTTTTTTTAAAAAAAGGGTTGTATTGCCCTTGTATACATATGTTATTTTTAACATAACCATTTCAGGAATAATTTATGAAATGTTCCACATATATATATCATTGAAAAAAGAGTCATGAGATTAATCATGTCTTTATATGATGGCATACAGTCATCGCTCATTAACTAATGCATTTGCAATTTGTTCTCACAACTGAATCATATCTCCGACACCCTATCCATTCTACGTGCAAGGGTCACATATCACAATCATTTCTGTAAAATTGATTCCCAAGCGATACTCATATATTTCAAGAGGAACAGTCGATTGATTTTCATCAACAATATTAAAATAAATGTAAGATGTATGACGTTAATAAATATAATTGTGGGGAGTCATTGTTGCAGCAACAATCTTCATCTACTTCCTGAATGGATATGCAAGTATGTCTCGAAAAATAACACAATTTTTTTCCTAAACATTGGAAACAAAATACAGAGAGATCAAAATATGCACGAACATAGCCACCATCAAATACCCACAGAAAGTAAGCATAGAAATATTGAATGCAGAGAGATCAAAATCCTCACATCAAAATCTCACTAGAAAAAAACCTCCCCATACCATGAAAATGCAGAGAGATCAAAATCCCCACATCAAAATCTCACTAGAAAAAAACCTCCCCATATACTACTCAAAACATGAAAACTCAGAGATATCAGAACCCGTATAGAAAAAGCACCATAGGATAAATAGGCATTGGTAGAAGCGAAGGCAAACACATACATGTAAAAGAAGAGGGATCTTCACAAGCAATAAAAACAAATTGACGAAAACAAACCCATGAAAATCAGAGCAGAGATCGAAGAAACTTCCAAAGAAATCGGAGCAAAGAGGGAAGAGAAAAAGAACAAAGATCAAAGGCGCCTCTCTCTGGATCTCTCGCCTTCGCACACAAAGCGGCTCGAGAGGTTAGGGCAGAGCAAAATCAAGGAAATTGAAGTGGGGGAGAGCGCTTCGAGCGAGGGAGTGGCACTAAGAACAATAATAAGAAATATGAAACACTAGCTACTAATCTTGTGTTAAATTGATATTAAACACGTCATGGCGTATAAAATAGGGGAATAATGCATTAAAAAAAAGTCATTAATCGCGGTAGCGGACATCGACGCTTCCTCACAGTTGCCCCAAATGCATGGTTAGAGGCTATTTAGCTATCACACTTAAATAAAATATACATAAGATTTAGCCAAAAATCCTACCAAACAACAAAATAAATGCAGGCATAAATTCTATTGTGCCATATATCCTATTTCATGTCAAGAAAAAATCGGGGATTTACTAAGTTCAGCTGTTCCGCAAATACAATGAATTTAGACGAGCCATGTGGACTTGTCCTTTGCATTCTTGTCATGTTGTAGCAGATGGGTTCACTTTATTTCTTTACAGGACACTGATATTCATCTCTAACAGCCAACATCTTCGTCATCCTCCATCTTATTCCCTCCTCGCAATCCCTCACAGCGCAACACCCTACCTCAATCTCATAGCTATCCTTAGTCCCTCAAATCAAGATTCAGATTGTTTAGGGTGAAATCAAAGAACATGCACCTAAAATAAATCTTGGATGGCCTTGCTCATGATGAAAGAAAGCAAGAACAAGGCCATCCAAGATTGGGAACACTCTACTAAGGTATATGAGCTAAGATCCTTCCTGGGGCTTGCAAACTATTATCAATGATTAATAAAGAGCTATTCTGCAAGAGCTGCTCCGTTGAAGGACTTACTCAAGAAGGATTAAGTCAAGGGAATGGAACAACAGGCATCATGAAACATTTGAAGATCTCAAGAAGGCAGTCAGTGAAAAGCCCGCACTTAGCCTTTCTGATCATACTAAGGTACATGAAGTAAACACTAATGCATTTGACTTCGTCATAGGAGGAGTACTCATGCAAGACGGACATCCAATTGCACATGAAAGCCAAAAACTTAATGAGACAAAGCGTCGCTACACGGTCCAAGAAAAAGAGACGACAACCATCATATATTGTCTTCGAGTATGGAGGCACTACATACTCGGCTCCAAATTCAAGGTCATCAGATAATGTTGCCACCAGCTATTTTCAGACCCAAAAGAAACTAAGGGCCCGTTTGGGGCAGCTTATTTGGTGCAGTGACATTTTGAAAACGCACCTGACCTGTTTGGGTAAACTGTGTTTTGGCAGCTTATGTGCTTTCAAAATGTTGAAAACAGTGTTTTCACATTGCACCTAGATGTGTGGTGACAGCTTTTTGACAACGGTCTTGCTTTTCCAAAAAAATAAAAATATATAATAGTCATCGCACCTAGCTTATCAGCAGATTATTTTTAATTAACTTAGCAGCAGATTATTCAATAAGTTGCAGCTGCCCCAAAAAAGTAGTAAGTCCCAAGCAAGTAAGATGGAAATATTTTTTGGCAGAATTTGATCACATCTTGGAGTATAAACCAGGAAAAACGAATGTAGTAGCAGACGCACTAAGCCGAAAAACAAAACTTACACGCATTTCACAAGTCTCCAGCTCCCTCGAAAGCATAATCAATAAAGGGTTGAACTTTGATCTGCAAGCCCAAAGTATTATAGCTCTAGTGAAGGAAGGAAAGAGTATAAAGTTCTGACTAGATGAAGATGTCTTTTACACTAAAGGTCAGTGCATCTACAGACCAAGATGGGGCATCATAAGAAATAAGCTAATCAAAGAATGTCATGACTCTTTATGGGTAGGACATCCAGGTATGAAGCGAACCCTAGCACATCTAAAAATAAGTTATTATTGGCCAGAGATGAAAGATGGGGCATAAGAATATGAGCGCACTTATCTTGTTTGCCAACAAGACAAAGTTGCCCTTCAACAACCAGGGGGGTTGTTGGAACCACTGTTTATCCCTCGGAAACCATGGGAGAACGTTTTTATGAACTTCATCTCTAGCTTGCCAAAGTCAGACGGATTTGGAAGCATCCTGGTCGTGGTTGATAGGTTCAGCAAGTATGCAACATTCATTGCTGCTCCCACTGACTGTACTGTTGAAAAAGTTGCAAGGCTCTTTCTCTGCAAAAGGTAAAACTATGAGGAATACCACAAAGCATTGTCAATGATCGAGATCCGCGCTTCACTAGAGATTTTGGACTGAATTATTCAAGATGTTGGGGTCAGATCTAAACTTCTCTATAAGTTTTCATCCTCAAAGTGATGGACAAACTGAGAGGATCAATGCCTCGTTAAAGCTATATTTGCGTCACTATGTAACCGAAAATAAGCAAAATTGAGCCAAATTGCTGGATGTGGCACAATTCTCTTTTAATTTACAAAAAAATGAATCCACCAACAAAAGTCTTTTCAAGATAATAATGAGACAATAACTGATAACTCCACGCTCCCTTACAACCAACTATGAATCCAGCAGCCTTCAATTTTGTCAAATCTTGGAATGAATAAAGGGAGCTAGCTCAAGCAACATTACACAAAGCCGCAAGGAGGATGAAGAAGTGGGTAAACAAAAAGTGAAAGCACATCGAATTAAAGAATCAGATCTAGTCCTAGTAAAGCTTGTACCCCAACAGTTCAAAACATTTCGAAAGGTACATAAAGGATTAATTCGAACATATGAAGGGCATTTTGAGGTAATGAAGAAAATGGGAAAGGTCTCTTACAAACTCAACATTCCACCAAAATTAAAGATACATCCATTCTTTCATGAAAGCATGTTGAAGCCCTATCATGAAGACATGGAAGGCCCTTCAAGAGGGTTTTCCAAGAGAACTCCTACAGCCGTTATCACCTCCTTTGATAAAGAAATTGAAGAGATACTGACAGACAGAATGATCAAACGACGAGGGGTGTCAAACAACAAAAAGTATCTCATCAAGTGGAAAGGATTATCTGATAACGAAGCTAACTGGGAGCATGAAGACACACTGTGGCAATTCAAAGAAAAT